CGGCAGACGGCCGGGAAGGTAAGAGGGCTCCCGCGTCTCTGTGCCGAGTTCCGCGGGCGGGCAGGGAGAAGAGGAGGAGGGAAGGAGGGGAAGGGCTGGAATCAGAAAGGGGCTTTTTCTGCCGAGGCTCCGCTGCCGCTCCAGGCAGCCCCGTGCTAGGAAAGGCGCGGGCTTACTGGAAAAAAAGCCTGAAACCAAAAGAAGTCTCGCTCGTTTTCTTGGCTGGGAGAAGCACACGGAAAAAGCTGCGAGGGAGCCCGAGCATCAGGCGGCGGCAGCTCCGGGGGCTGCCGCCCCCCTCGTCTCCCCGACGGGCCCCGGCATCGCGGCACGGTGCGGCCCGTGCCCGGGCTTTGAAACCGCAAAAAATCTGGCTGAGATCCTCCGGAATGACCCCTCTGCCATGCCGAGACTCGCATCCCTTCCCGGGGAAAGGCACCAGCCTGGCAGCCGCGCTGCTGCTTTGTACAGCTGAGAGTTTCATTATTGTCTGCCTTTTAGGGTGGGAAGAGGTGGTCTCTCGCCAGACTTTGCCATTTGAACCCGTTTCATCACAGCCGAGAGATTGCATCATGTTACAGCCCGGGATTCAGTAAGGGCAAAGGCGAAGAGAGCCATCCCCCCCGAGCTGTCCCACTGGCCTCCCCATCCGACCCCCTCCTTTTTATTTCCTGTTTAGCAGAGGTTAAGGCTAAAAGCAGCCTGCGATTGGTAGGCGGCGGTTCAGTTCACAGCGACGTATTTTGATTTCTTCCAGTGAGGATTTTTTTGGAAACACAGTTTTAACTTTGTTGGTTCTGTGCGCGTTATGTGTCTTGTGTGGGGCGATAGAGGAAACTCGCCAAAGGTTCAGCCGGTAGAAAAAGAATAGGCAGCAAAAGAGCCAGATAAACAGCCGAAGGCAGGCGCCGCTTTATAAACTACAGAGGAGGTGTGTGGATTCAGGCGGGCATCCCTCAGAATCCGAGGCGTTCATCTGCCCAGAAAGGCTGTGTAGGTGAGTGAACACACACTTCTGAAAGGCAAGACAAGACAGATGTCAGGAACAGAGACTGTTTGGCTGATTCCCCCTCTAGTTCCTAGATGATCAGTCTGATGCAAACACTTGGTGTGTCCTTGCCTCTTTTATTTATCATACCTTTGCAATGACTGATCTTTTCAGGAGAGATCTGACATCCCAAAGATAGAAAGATCCAATTAAACATTGTACTGCACTGCAGGGCTTCCTAAGCCGACGGATTCTGCTGTTCTTTGTGCAGTTCTTTGTTTCGTTCCATGGGGGAAAAAAAAAAAAAAAAAAAAAAGGTTCAGCTCTCAGAGGTATTTTCTGTAACTCGTATCTTGCCTTTGCAGGTGCTCTGTCACTGTTTGCTCTGTTACAGGGACATGTTTTTCTTTCATGAAAACAGCAGTATTAGGAGGTTCTTTTTCTCAGTTTTTCTGGGAAGGGTCGGTGCAGGGGGACAAGGGAACAGCTTGGCAGCCAGATGGATCCATCCATCAGCGCTCTCTATATGGGCACTTGGTGCCCTTCAGTCATCCCGTATGCCTCCTGGTGGCTTCCTTGGGAAGAACTGAACAATTACTTTCTCCTTTTGAAAAAATCCATTTTGCCTTTTGGAACTGGGGTGGAAGAGGAGCAAATTCTGCATTAGAGCCAGAGAGAGAACAGTCCTGTCTTTCTGCAGCTATAGGGCACCAGATGGGTTTAAGAGGAATTCGAAATGAATTCTGAAAAGAAGCATCTACAGTTTTCTTTGTGTGTCTGGATACCCAGTGATTGCGGTGACAAGCCTGTGCACAGAACAATAAGCGGATACTCACTGCCTTTGGTGATATGTGGCACTGTTTGGTGTTTCCCAGGAAATATGTCAGCAGAATTCAAAGTATTAAGTGGTGTTCCTGGGTCTCAGGTAGATTTTTAGATGAAGGGATTTGGAAGATCTGTGAGGTTGAAATTGCAGTGTTTGTTGAAGGAGTGGTAACAAGAGATAATATGCAGTGACACTTCAGTAGGGCAGCCAGTCACACTATTTTAAAATCTTCCAGGCTTAGTAGAGAATTTTTAATTTTCATTTCCTGAACCTCTCAAAATTGAAGGGGTGCTGTGAGAGACAAAAAAAAAAAAAAAATCTCAACGGGGGCAGGCTGTATTTGGTACACATATGACTAATTGTGCTGTTGCTTTCAGTGTTGCAAACAGAACCTGCTGTAAGGTCAGATCAGGAATTGTCTTGCCCTGCTGCTCGCTGTAGACTTCCTTGAGACATTGCCCCAGGACAAAAACCCAGTGGTTCAGGGCTGGTTTATGCAATCTGGAGTCAACCGATTTAATTTCCGTCCATTTTCAAAAATTTCATATCTGATACATCAGTCAGTGGGAGTATGGTCTCCAGGAGCCTGCCTGGTTAACTGCATTGTTCAAAGCTGCACTCTTTGTTTGGCAGGGAGGGAGTGAGGAGGAGGAGTGGATGTGCTTTATATTCATTTGCAAGAGATCTCTTGCTGAAGTGGGAGGTTGGGATGCAAGGGCTTATGTTTCCAAACTCCCGTACAGTTTAGTTCACTCTATGCTACTATGGTTTTAGTCACACTAAAGCCTGCTGTGTCAACTTTTCAAAAAACGTATGCATCCCTTCCAGATATGTAATTCGACTTGGTTTAGATGTGAATGACACCTGGCTACTGGTATGACCCTGAATTTCCTCTGATTCATCAGTTTATTAACAAATACAGTGTTTCATATGGCACAGGAACTGTCTGTCTGGGCTGGGCAGGTGAGTGTGTTACATACTCAGTAGATATTATTCCAGGTTAATATACTCTAATATAAAATGTTCTTAGGCTCCCAGTTGAACCCTTAATAGTCAAACCCAACAAAAACAATAGAATAGTGGAAGTCAACCAAAGGACTACAGAGTTTCTGTGAACTCTGAGCCAAGACTGAAAAAGCTAAGTCTTGAATATACTCCTGTTCTATGTCTATTAAGGTTATCTATTGAAATTTAGGAAGAGTTAGCTTTTCTACTATAAAGCAGCCTAAGCTGGACTTAGACCAGAGTTAAATTTTTTATATCATACTAGGTGTCTTCTTGGGGAGTGTCTGTATAAAGCAATACTCAGTTTGTCAGCACTATTAGCAGGTAGGAAACATGTAGCTGCAATCGCATGGGGGTGATTGTGAGTGTGGTGTGCAGGTGTTACACCAGCATGACTGTTGGACTGCACCTTTCCGTCTACATGGGAAGGTCTTGTATTTGTATTGCATATACAACAGCACTGTAAAATACTATGTATAGATTAAATTGCTCTTACTCTTTGATTAAAAGTTAACTCTTGATTCTCCAGGTCATGAAACACGTGTGAATGCTAGTAATGCTGATAAATAGTATTGTGGGAACATAATTGGAGTTTGTGGAAAGGGAGATACAGCAGATAGTAAATGAAGCCCTGTTTTCCAGAGATATGGTGAAAGATGCAGTCCTGAATGCCAAAAAAAGAAGAAAAAAATCACTGTCTGCCATCCATTACTCCTCTGCCACCTTAACAGAGAGTCAGTCATGACATGTGGTGTGTAGTAAGGTTTGACTGCTCAAGGTGCTGAGCACCCTTAACACACAGCAGCATCCAAATGAGATGATGATGATCACCTCTCTTAAGAGTAGCCTGGGAGTATACACTAGGCTGTGTAAACAACGAATCAGTATCTCTTGTATATTTTACCAGTGTCCATCAAGAAATGTAGGAAAGAAACTCCTAAGAGAACTTTATAGGTTTGGTTCTGTATAGATACTGCTATTTACCATGTAGTGGTGTGTTAAAAGTTGATTGTGTATGTCTGGCAGTAAAATAAGCAAAACTGCATAGAGCTGTCTTTAGATCTCTTTCCTAAACGGAAAAAGAAAGAAAACTTTTTTAAAAAATCAGTGCATTATTCCTTTCATGGTGACATAGTGGTGAGGTTTTTTGACTATGTGGGGTTTTTTTGCTGCCAGCTTCTCTGCCATCATATTTCTGAGCCGAGTGATAAAGGCTGGCTTTCTCTAGGACACGTGTTGGTAATGGCTTTATTGTGACAAAATCTTTGAGTACAAAATGCTGAATAAAAATATTTCCTTACATTAATAATAAGTGCCAGAAAAGAGTACACAAGTAGTTTCAAATTTAATCTGTAATATAGCTCATGTCTCAAAGATAACAGCATTTGACCCCCAAGAAATGCAGCACTTTGTGTATGTGAGGTAATTGCTATGAGTTGCACTAAATATATATTATTCATTAGAGGACTGTCATTATATGATGTTTGTGAATTCCCCAAAGTCTCTTACCCCTGTCCTAATCACATCTAAATATTTATGGAAAACAAGATTTTGGTGTCCTACTTGACTGACTGATGTTCAGGCTCATTGAGTTTATCCTGAGCTGGTAGCCACTTTTAATGAGCATGCTTGCTTGGTTCATTTAAAATGAATGGAGTTTGGGAGAGGAGCTTAATTCCTGTATTCATATTATGAGAGATAGCACTCCTTCACAGAGAATATGTAGTGGTATGTTATCTCAGTTTTGCAGAGAAGCAAATAGTAAAAAAAGCTCTTTAATGTGCCCCTTTTGTGCGGGGGGGCTATCACAGCTACTGAGGGCTATCTTCAAATGTATAGACTCAATATTTGGCCAGTTGCTATGGGTGGATTTTTTCTTTTGTCCATTAAAGTGTGTTTAAGTATCTCTTTGAAATTTACCTGATCTCTCATCAGTTAAACATGCTTATGGTATTCCTGTTGTTCAAAACTGGAAGAGAAGGCAAGGTAAGGATGGACTTTCCCTGTTATTAGCAATTAGTGGATCCAGATTTTATTTTGCTGTACCGTTTCTTACCAGGAGCAGCTGCACAGAGAGAATTACAGAGTGTGACCTTCATAGCATTTCCTAGTGCTGTCATCAATCAGATCTGGCAGGAGCTTTATCGCATCTATCAGTGTGGCTCATAAGCCACATGCTGTCTAGTCTGGGGGGAAAAGCAAACAAACAATGGGAGCTACTGTAGGTTTTGTTTAAAATAAAACAACCAGGAGTGAGCTTTTCCCATATGTGCCAGCTTTGTAGGCAGATTCCAATTTTTACTGTGTGCTGTTGGGCTGATTATAAAGTATGATGATTGTAAAGCAGTGGAAGAGACTTCCACTACTCCTCAATGGCACTGGCAAATCATTCACAAGCTATTGCAGCCTTAGCCTTTCACAGTCGATGCTCTCCAGTCTCATTCTAATCCTCAGCATTATTTTTACCAAGAAGTTGATGCAGTTAGATTACTTTAGGTGTTTTCTGCACACATAAATATTAGGGAATAAAAAAGCTTTTTCAGGCTTCTCTGATTCTTGTATGAAATTACAGAGTTTTCTCAGATTAACCAGTTTGCTATTTTTTGTGGGAACATGTGTTGCCTTCACAGGCTATTCTAGGGCTTTTTTGGAGGGAAGTTTATAATGTAGTGGCCAAGGTCAGCAGATTAGCTCCAACATCCCACTTTTAAGCATGCATAACGTTAGTAACACTCTGTAAGTGTTTCCTTTGTTTTGTGTTTGTTTGGTTTTCTGAACTGACCTTGGTCTGGTTTTGGAGTTTTACTGAATTTTAAAACATTTTGTATTCTTAGATTTTTTTTTTTTAATTGTTACACCAAGTTCACTGCCGCTTTCAGATTCCTTTGGTCTCCTTTTCTTGCCAGCTGCAGTAAGTACAACTTTATTGCCTTCCTTTCCAGGGCTCAGGACAGGTTGTCACTTTGTGCCTGGCTTTCTTGCAGGCAAAGTCCTAGCTAACAGGTAGATGGAAGAGCAAAAAGCAATGGTGACAGGCAGAACTGCTAGTGTGTAATTCTAACTTCCCTCATGGGTATAAGTTTGTGTGTATAAATGATAGATATGTAGCTAGATAGATAGATATAGATGAGTGTGTGTATGTATAGTTGATAGATATTAGAGCTGTCTTAGTCACACACATTTTCTGAGAAAAATGACCAATTGCTAATAAATATGTATCTATTCACTGTTCTACTATCAAGTAAAAGGTTAAGGCCCTGAGTTTCTAAACGGGTAATGTTGATGGTGAACAGCAGGGTATGATCTATAATTTCTGTGGTTTTTAACCAGCCAGTGCTTGATATAAGTTACCTTGGCACCAGATTTGGGCAAGGAAGCTTGAATGCCATAAGAAATGTGCAATAGCAAGTGCAAGGAAAATGCTCATAAAATGAGAAATACGTTTAGCAAAATGGTTATCTACTCTGTCAGGAAAAAAATCACGTGAATTGGCTAGCTGGCTATGGAAAGAATGACTGTTGTGGTTTTCCTCTGTGTGTGCCTTGTCAGTTTGACAGGTTTTATGGCCCCAGCTGCTGAACTGGCACTAGGCAGGGCAGCAACTACAGCTCCCAGTCCCTGCCCCAGAGACCAGCAAACCCGAGCAAAAAGGAGCCTGCCCAAAATGATGCTGCACGTCATCTGTCTTCAAACACTGGGGCTATCCCAGAGGATTTTGCCAGCTGAGGGGAAGAGTTTGACAGAGAGACATCCTTGGGTGTTTCAGATGGTGCTGTCAGCCCCTGCGTGCCAGTGGTGCCCATCCTCACTGTTGAGCTGTCAACACTCCCTGGGTCCCAGCCCAGCATCTCTGCCTGAGCAGGGGATGGGACCAGCAGGGGCTGAAACTCTGGACCATGAGCTCCAGCAGCCAGGCACCACAGCTGCACTTGGTGGAGGGTTTTTAAGAGGCCAAAGCCATAAGCAGTCCTGTTCCAGCAGGAAGATGAGGAGGAGAGGAGAAGCTGCCTGCAGGAATCAGCCTGAGATGCTGAGTCCTGTGTCATCGTTTGGGGGCTCCTGCTTCATAAGCACACAGCAAACCTGCTGGCTGCCTGCTGCTGGCATAGACTGAACAAAAAGACAGCATTTCAGCCCTGCAAGTAGGGTGGGCTGCAATGTGAAAATGATAAAATGGCAGGAGTTGAAAAAAAGATAGGTAATGTAAAAGGCAAAGTAATTAGGTAAGAAGCAGGGCTGCCGAGTGTCTCTGGGGCAGTGGTGGCCAGGAGCTGAGCTGCAGAGGGGCCACTTTTGGATGATTTTCTGCCACTTGGGCTTAGCATAGATCAAACTGAAAGAAATTGCCCTTGTGAAGAGTGAGATTTATTCTTGTAAACCAAGTCCGTGCCAGAGAATAGAGTGAAATACTGGATGTTGTAGCAGACTGTAGGAGATACAGACAGAAGAAAATAAATACCTGAAAATGTTAGGAGCTAACTGATTTTTGGCTCTGTTAACACACAACATTATCAAAGAATACCTGTTGGAAAATGAAAAGATTTACTTCTTGGAGGGGGGAAAACTAGTCAGGCTGAGGACCTTCTGTGAATATACTGACCTCCTCACCTGATCCCTGTCTGCACCATGTGTTTGCCATTAGGACCATGAAAAGCTGAGTCTCCTTGGGCAGGGGATGATGGGTGCATGGTGGGTCCTTCAGGAAGGACCAGGAGAGCTGAAAGGAGATAGAGGCTAGGTCAGGCCACAGCATTTTGTTTTGAGCTTAACAGGAATGAGATCCACCCTGAAGAGTCTTGGGGAAAATTCTGGATGCAGGCCAGTGTGAATAATGCTGACTGCAGATGGGTGGGACCCCACCTGGTTACAAAAACAATGCTATTTCCAAGGTTGGTTAGTTCTTCTGAAAGAAAAAGAAGCTTTAACAAGTAAGGTCTCAGTTAAGAGGAAAAAAGACA